CTTCTCTTCTTGGCATTTTTTGTGATCTACCTTGTGACCATGGTGGGGAACCTTTTGATTGTTGTCTTAGTTACCATTGATCAGCACCTTCACACTCCCACGTATTTCTTTCTGGTAAATTTGTCTTTCTTAGACATGTGCTATATCTCAACAATTTTGCCAAGGATGTTGGGCAGTTTCCTTACTGCAAACCAATCTATCTTGCTGAGGTCATGTTTTGCACAACGATATTTCTTTGGGGGCTTGGCTACTGCAGAATTCTATCTCCTTGCTGCCATGTCTTATGATCGATACCTGGCAATATGCAAGCCACTTCATTATGTGACCTTGATGGATATCAGATCTTGTCTGCAGCTTGTGATTAGTTCATGGATCATTGGATTCATGGTTGACTCTCTCACCATGTATTTTATGACACAGCTAGTTTTCTGCACAACTAACATAGTTGACCATTTCTTCTGTGATTTTACACCACTACTTCAACTTGCTTCCAATGATAGTGTCAGCAGCATACAACTAGTGATATTTATTGTGTCATCTGTGTGTGGGCTGCCACCATTTCTTTTAACCCTTGTGTCTTATGGATACATCATAGCAACCATTCTCAGAATCCCGTCCACCACAGGAAGAAAGAAAGCTTTTCCCACCTGCTCATCACATTTCATTGTGGTTATACTCTTTTAAGGGACTATCATCTTTGTATATGGTCCACCAAAAAGCAGGATGCTTAGGGATCTTAACAAGGCTGTTTCTATCATTTACACTGTCTTGACTCCTTTGGTAAATCCTTTTGTTTACAGTCTGAAAAATAAAGACATTAAGCAAGCTTTGGGCAAAGCTGTTCTGCGTTTTTCTGGTTGATCAGAAGACTCACCAGTCTTCTCTGTATTCACTTTGTTTCTCATGGATTTTTTAAAAATCTTATTAAATAATAGATTTGAGACTCAAGGAATGGTGAAATTAATTCGGCACACCTAAGGAGGCTTTGGGAAATTCCATGGCTCAGTAGAATAGCACATGATGTAGATGCAGAAGATCCCTGGTTTAATGCTGGCATCTCAAGGTGGAAATGCTCTGCTTGACTCCTTGGAGATCAAGTACTAGTCAAGGTTGGGCTAGATCAACCAATGGTCCAACACAGTATAAAGCAACTGCAAATATTCCTCTATTCCCATGTCTATGTTTGTCAAATGTTATTCTGCCTTCCCTATGATGGATTTAAAAAAAAAAAAAAAACACTGGGTATCTGCACTTTAGAATCCTCTTATCTGAGGGATATTTTCAGATAATACATTACATACAAAATGGATGATTTCAGTATCCATCAGCATCCATTTCAAATTTTCCTGACTCAAAGGAAACAAAAAGCAAACAAAAGATTTCTTCTTTCGTATTTCTTCTTATAAGGCTAAGAAGCTTCTCAGAAACTACATGTGGTGGATTTCTTCTAAACCACCATCACACAGGACAAATACATATTACATGTCATAATCTAGAAGGAGACAGAACAAGAGAGAAAAAGCAATGATTTTGCATTTTAATTGGAACATCACCAACCATACTGTCATAACTGTCTTCATTTTCAAAAATGAAGTCTGCAAACCTTTTATAACTTTGTGTGAAATCCTAATTTTACCCACTCAGTAGTAAGTCTCATAGAGTTTCTCACAGGTAAGTTTGTACAGGATTGTGGCTTAAATATTATGTGTTCCATTTGATACTAAGGGACCCAGTCCTTATGCAGTTTTCAAAGTATGCCTCACACATCTAATTTATAAAAATCCAGACTGTCTCAGAAGGTTGGTACTAGCAAGGAGAAGAAAGTTGTAATTTACATTGTATTGATATTTTATACATTGCCAAATTTAATTTATATGTTACCTAATAGTCAGCACTCTCTAGTTCAATTAAATTGGTGGGTGTAAGCTATATTGGTAGGCAAACAATGGGGAATCTTGGCATGCGAAGATCTCTTATCCAATATCCAACTTTGACTATTTAAGAATTAACCCAGTTGAAAATCCTGGAGGGAAAACTGCTCCATTAATGAAAGATTGATGCCACTACCAGAAGACCCATTAGCCATTGGTATTAAGCATAAAAATTTAGAAAAATTTAGGGTGAACTCATCTTAATGCATTTAAGCTAACAGAAAATCTCTTCTCCCATATACTCTAGAATTTGTTTCAGGTTATGTGCTCATCTGTGCAGATCTTTCCTCATCTTTACTAATTCCCCCATGGTACAAGTGTAAGTTTCAGTTTCCCCGTGTCACATCTTATCTCTGGACCCAAGATCTATAATTGCATGTGTAGATGACCACACGTGAACAATGTGTCATCAAGTAGGCATTGGCTACTTTTGTACTTGGCATTCTGTTCTGTTCTGGATGATGGTTCTTTTGCTACAAAAGCACCCCAGTCATTCTTTCACCCAAAGATAAGGGAGAGGCAATGGTTTCATGAGTTGGTTGTGGGTCTTCCTTGATTACTGGGGCACTGATAGTGATGGTGATACTGGTCTTGGTAGTATATCATGCTTTACCAGATAGAAATGGAATTTCACCAAGTCTGAAATGCCAAGAACAATGAGATATATATTGAAAACATGGACTACCACAATATTTTTTCTAAATTAGTGGCTTGCTAACTGTGAAGTTATGCTGCCCTTGCCACTCAGGATGGCTTTACTCTCGGGCATGGTGAAAGTAAAGGCACTAATTATTAGAAAAAACAATAACAAAATCCTTATTAAATTACAGGAGATAATTTCCTGTGCCACACAATTAAAAGTGTAGATAAATAATTGTACATATATGATTTCTATTGACTATTTAATATAAATTATAAATTACAATAAATGCAATGAAACCATGTTGAGATTTACATTAGGAATTCTGAATGTTATTTTGGGGATTTCTGGATTTTGTGATTAAAGGAAGGAGGGAGGGAGTGAGGGAACGAGGGAGACATTTAGTTAAAAACAGCAATGCCCTAATTAATTCCCTTGTGTTGAGTACAGAATACAGAAAACTTGGTGCATGTCATCATACTAGGATATAAACTGCTTTTCATGGCAGCATTAACTCATTTATGAAGATAATTTAGTCTGAGGTGTGCAGTTTATTTATATAATTCTACAGTAGTTAGAAAATTTCAGGTAGAAGGAAGTGTTAATCAGGATTTATGAAGGTATTGTCATAGCAATGTTTTTGGAATATGAACTAGGTTTATGTGGTTAATGCAGTGGAAAAGAAGGGGAAGGTTCACCTGAAATTCTGCGTTCATGTCACCATGTTAGTGCAATTGATTTGAGATCCACAAAAGCTCTAGGTGGAGCAGGAGTGCTTGGTGGTGGGTATCATATGAACCACAATTGGGTTTCACCTTCATTTGTTTTAAAGCAATATGTCAAAGGGAAGCAAGCAATCTTCTGATTTCACAGCAAAACAGTATATTGTATGCTCATTAGAGACAGGGCAATGGAAGAATGTGAAGAGGAGCAGGAGTTAATGCAATCCACTCTTCATGTCTTCATTGTACCTATACGCCAAATGCCTGAATACGGTTACAGTGTTCTGGGAAAATTTTGTGTGTGTTTATGGTAGATGTATGAAATCTTAGACTATGATACTGCTAGTAATCTGATCTGATCCTTTAGAATGCTACCAAGCTAGTGTGAATAATCAAACTGGAATGGTGTTCTTTCCTATAAGAAATGAAGTGTTGATGTAATACAAGCGATCACAGAGATATAAGATCTGAATTACAACTAGTAGTTGGACAATATTTATTTGTATATGCATTGTAATGAGTACATTTTTAGATTCAGGGTACTTCCAGAGGAAGTACTTCCAGGCTCAGTTCGACAGCTATACAGAGACATGCTCTTTTTCCAAAGGCCCCTCCCAAAAGGATGGGACGCAACCATACTCATGAGAGTTATACAAATAAATATTAGATTGAGTTCAACAATGGGTGTACAGGAAAACAATACGCTTTGGTCAATAAAGAACATTGTGCAAGATATGACTGTGGCTTTGAATGTGTGAAGGGAGGAACCCTAGCTCTGTTTTAGCATCATGTAAGCCACTTAGAGTTTGTAAGAAAAAGCAGAATAAAAATCAAATAGACACAAATAAATGACACTGAGCAATGAAACTCCCTGGGTGACTTTGAGCTAGTCACAGACTGTCATCCCAAGTTATCTCACAGGTTTGTTGCTTTAAGGACAAGATGGAGCTATGTGAATAATCTTGGGTTACTCACAAGAAGAAAAGCTGCTGAATAAGGCAATGTAATAATAATAGTAGCACAGTAAAAGTCACATCTGGAAGCAGTCATAGGCATGACATGGGACTGAAGTCAAGAACTATGCGGCCATGTAGCATTTGGAGCAGTGGCATCCCTGCAGAGATACTCTGGACTAGATAGAGCATATTTATTCTCTTGGAACGCAATACTGTGTTGCTCTTTCTTGGAAGACAAGTGAGGAGCTGCAAAAGGAATTTGTATACTATTCAGATATAATGAGAAAGTAATCCATATGGTTTTCTATTTCCATTAATGAAAGAAAGCATATGACAAAGTACAGAACAAAGACAGCAAGTATACTTTCTGGAAAACTTCTAGAATGCATTTTCACTAGATAGGATTTTTTGCCTGTCTAGCTGGAACATACTGGTGGGAGAGAATGAAGCTAGAAAGGCCTCAGAATAGCCTGAATTCTGGCCTCTCCAATTTCCTCTCCTCCCACTTCCAAATGCCCAATCTTCTTCACCTGTGAGAACATGTTCCTGATCTTGGAGAACAGCATGGTTCTTATTATACCATCTGTGAAGGAGAGGAGAGGGGAGGGTCAGAGCCTGATTCCCAGGTTTAAAATCTCTAGCTTCTTATCTGGGTATTCCTCCTTTGGATTTTTAAAAAGAATTGTATACTATCATGTTTTATTCTGCATTGCCTTTTTCTAGATCCTTGAAATACCCGGAAGCGTGCCCCATGGATAACAAAGAGTGGAATAACCAAACAGTAGTAAAAGAATTCATTCTTCTTGCATTTGGGAATATCCATGAGTTTCAAATTCTCCTCTTCCTGGTGTTTCTAGCAATCTACATTGTGACCATGGTGGGAAACTTGCTTATCGTTGTCTTAGTCACCACTGATCATCACCTTCACACTCCAATGTACTTCCTCCTCGCAAATTTGTCTTGCTTAGAATTATGCTATAGCTCAACCATTTTGCCCAGAATGTTAGAAGTTTTCCTAACTGGGAACCAGTCCATATTGGCAAATTTATGTTTCACACAACTGTATTTCTTTGGTGCCTTGGCAACAGCAGAATGTTACCTCCTAGCTGCCATGTCTTATGACCGTTACCTAGCAATATGCAAACCATTGCATTATGTCACCATTATGGATGCAAGATCTTGTCTGCAGCTAGCAAGTGGTTCCTGGATTGTTGGATTCCTTGTTAACTTTGTGACCACCTGCTCAGTAACACATTTAGTATTCTGTGGACCTAATGTAATTGACCACTTCTTCTGTGATTTTGCTCCATTACTTCAACTGTCCTGCAGCAATACCCTGAAAACACAGCTACTGATATTTGTTCTATCAGTTGTGTTTGGCTTGCTTCCCTTTCTTTTAACTCTTACGTCCTATGGCTATATTATAAGAAACATTCTGAGGATCCCATACACTATAGGCAGGAAAAAAGCATTTTCCACCTGCTCCTCACATCTTATTCTGGTTACACTTTTTTATGGGACTATAGTCATTGTATATGTGTTGCCAAAAAACAACACACTTAGAGAGCTTAACAAAGCCTTCTCTGTCATCTATACTGTTTTAACTCCTCTGGTGAATCCTTTTTTGTACAGCCTGAAAAATAAAGACATTAAACATGCTTTGAGCAAAGCTGTCAGACATTTTATGAATTGATCAGACACCATAGTCAGGTCTATGGTTTCTGATTTTTTTTTTTTTTTTTTTGGTGTCTCTTGTAATGAGGAGAGGAGAGGACAGGAGAGGACAAATATTGAGATTATTTTATGTGATTTAATGATGAATTAATTTTAATTTACTGTTTTGGTTAAAACTATCCATTATGAATAATACCCATTTACCTAAAAATGGCTGTTAGAACAATTGCAGAATACACTTCAAAGCTCCTGGTTAAAGAATGTTTCTTCTATTCTACATTCTTATGGGAACAGCATAAATGTCCTGCCCACTGTTTGTACTAAAAGTGTTAAAACTCTGTTCAAGCAAAAAATCCCATTATATTCTCAATGCCATGGCCTTTATCTTATTAGCCAAACATCATATTCCCTTTGGTATCCATTGTACAAAACAACTTTTGTGTCAGAGCACTACTTCTCTGTCCTTATGGTTCCCATCTTTAAAAAGTCCTTTACTGCATTGTGGTCTTAATGTATGTCCTCTGCTTACATGGCTGGGACATTTCACAGCTGCTGGTTGGGTGGCCACCACCAAAGAAGTTTGCTGGATGCACAACTGGGGCTCTGCAAGCATTTGTGGACTTCTCATCTTAGCTCACCTTGTGAAAAAAATAATTGTGGAGCCCAAGAAAAAATTCTTCTTTACCAAAAAAAAAAAAAAAAAGAGGAAAGAAGTGAATGAAAAATTCAATGCCATGACAACAATTATTTGCACATATTTGTCTGTATACTTTCTTACCTTTCTATTTCAGTAAGGCAAGTAGAACAGCTTTGCAGTCCACCCTTCTTACTGTGGAGAGCAAGGAATTGGGTAGAAGGTGTTGCCCCACACAGAGGGACAGGAGCCTGGACAAGGGGCAAAATGGGACAAAAGGCATTGCCCAGGTGAAACTGGGCATGCACACCTGATGCTGGCCTTAGAAAATGTTGCATAAAACTACCCTAAAATCACCATTCTGCAGCATCTTTTCTCTGGAACATGGGTGGTGCCTTATTCAGCAAAAAAGAAAATGATTTGTTTCATTTCTATTGGATACCACTATGCCTATTCTCTTATCAGGATTTGTCTAAGTTGGCTAATTCCTGGAAGAGTACCATGGCAAACACTTTTTTTAACCAAAAGTTTTTGGAAGGAGACCATCATATGTAGGCAGTTAGTATCAATATCTTCTTTAATATTTACTGAAGCACAGAAAATATTATCGACTTGCTTCCTAGTTAATGGTGAACTCAAATTAACTCCTTGCAACATTTTAATGGCTAAAAGAATGATACAGCAACATTGGAAAGATGTTCACCTCCTAGAATGTAATGGATTGAGGATCAAACAGGACTTTTAATATTTGAACAGGTGGGATAGACTTACTACTGCAATTGATCCTCATATGTATATTTGGTGAAGCTTATGCATACTTCTTAGAAAGCTGTATATTCATATGCATCTGTACACATACGTATTTCAGACACATACATTGAAACTGATATATTCAAATCTATGTAATTCCTTTTCATATTTTTTGTTTTGTTCTGTTGCAATTTTCCAGTTTCTATCTACCTATCATCTATCATCTTCTAACACAATTACAAAACCTTACAAATCTTTTAAAGCCCCTAAAAATGTAATAGTCTGCATAAACCACCCAGAAAGTCTGTGTAAACCACTCAGCTGTGGGGTGGTATAGAACAGCAGTTCCCGAACTGTATTCCTCAGACCCCAATTAGCTAACGGTATGTAATTGATACCTTAGACACATCAATTCAATTTAGAAGGTGTATCACTATGGTGTGTGTGTGCATAGGTGCAAATATATAAATCCATGGTGCCCATTGCATATACCACAGTTTCTGCTAGTCTGTAAGGAAGTTGCACACAAGAAAGCCAAGCAGATCAAGAACAGTTAGTAAGCTGAATGAAATTTTGGAACTTTTACTGAATTCTGAAAATTGCAAGGAAAGCTTTTCATGAATCCTAAACAGGACATAACTTACCATTGCTTTCAGTGAGGTATGTGAATTCAGAAATAAGAAGCATCTTGGATATTTTATGCAGCATGGTTAGTGTAGTTTTCTCCAAGCTGGTATACTTCAGTTGAGTTGGACTACAATTCCCAGCAAATCCAGCCAGAATTGTGATTGGTCATTCTGGCTTGGTATGGTGGGAGTTGTAGTAAAAACATCTGGAAGATATCAGCTTGGAAAAGCCTGGTGTAATATTTTGTCCGTAAGTCCAAGAGCAACTATGGAAAATGGATTAAAGAGATAAAAACCACTATCTACTGCTACAGAATTTCATCCTAAGGGTTTTTGGTACCATGTATGGCCATCTATTAGTCATTAGAAGTATTTTACCTATTATTTTTGAAGAACATGCCCTGCTCAGTTTGAAACAAGGACTAAAAGCTAACAATTGGAGGGCTATTTCTTTCAACTGCTGGTGGTGTGGCACCTCTTCTTCAAGTCTTTACACACCAGTAGGGTACAGAAGTTCATGTGAAAGCAGTTGGCTCAGGAAAATCTGGTATGTAGACTTTTATCTGACCATTTTAAGCAGGACCTTTTGGATGCCATTAGGGGCATGTTAAAAACTAATGGGTGCTGGATCTTCTATGCACAAATGGAATTATACTGTATAATGCTTTATGCATATTCCATCTTGCAAACTAAATCCAGCACAATCAATGGCTATCCAACTCAGTGATGGGGCATATGCAATGCATACAGAAAGTCCCAAGGGGAATCCCTAGTATGTCAATTTTTTACAAAAAGGTCTGGGAGCAGGAGATGGAGAAGAATTCTGAGATACTGGAGAATCACAGCCATCTAGAATGGTCAACAGTAACCTAGGATGAATGGGCTCAAATACAGTGAATTCATATATTTGTGAAAGAAAATCCAGCTTCTGTGAGTCACACAATATAACCTGAGGCACGGGCAGTAAAGGAGCATGGTTTGAAAGTGAGCTAGGATGCGGGCAGGACCAAAACATTTTGCTGTCTGAATTGAAGGTCAGATGGCATCCTCCACATTCCAGGCAGTTGGATATTACTTCAACACTGACTATGGTACAGTGTTGTACCATTGATACATAACAGCAGTAGGCCACCCTTTAGGAACAGATTAGGTCATTTAGCACCCACACAGTTGTTCTCCAACATTCACACCTTTGTTTTCCAGCCATGTCTTGTCTAGCTGTCACCTGAAGCAACTGTATCACACTAATTGAACTTAGTGAGACTTACTTTGAGTAAACTTTGGCTTGTGTTATAAATTACTTTCATTTAGTTCTGGGACATATGTAGATTTACTTGTTGACATTAACATGTGTTTCTCTCAAAGGAGAAGTTCAAGGAGACTATAAAAAATAATATTTAGCAATATTCCACTTACCGTATTTTTCACTCTATAAGACGTGCCTGACCATAAGACGCACCTAGTTTTTAGAGGAGGAAAACAAGAAAAAAAATATTCTGAATCAAATGGGCACATAATCACAGGCACATTCCCATCACTTCCCCATGGGCTGCACATCTGACAGACTTACTGCACAGACATATTCGCTCTGTAAGACGCACAGACATTTCCCCTTACTTTTGAGGGGAGGGGAGTGTGTCTTATAGAGCAAAAAATACGATAGTTTTAACATTGATTTCAATGAGCTTTCAGTGTGATTAACTTAGTTTGAATCCAACCACATTTAAGGTTTCACTCTGAGGTGGTGACATCATTGGATTGTTCTATTCAGCTACCTTATACTTATTTTGTCTTCTAGAATAGTGGCTGAATATAAATAAGCATATCTTTTCACTTTAACATAGCTCTAATTGGGCATTTCAATAGTACTTAATATTTGTTTGCTATGTACCTTTTGGTATTATCTCCCAACATTGATCTCTACCAAATAAACCAAATTTATGTCATTTTTATCCAAATTTCTCTGATATTTTGCCTGAATCTCACATCAGACAATATTGTGCCAATAAGGAATAGGTGAAATGCTCGGAAAATGCCTTGAATTGTAACAAAACTTTGAATCTGCTACAATTTTCCAGATCTTTTGCTTAAAGAGAACACCCAATTTCATTTGAATTTTTCCTTAGGCAAAACCTTTCAACTGAGGTGGATGTGGAGTCATGTTTATTTCATGTATAAATTTATATTATGTATTTACTGTATATCTTTTCTTATTGCAGACATTCTGCTCCATCACTTCTCCATTGGCTGTCGTGGCATGACACTGCTGGCAGAGTTGGAACTTCATGAGCCATGTTTTAATGGTTCTTACAGATCCAAATCATTCAAAAGTTGCACAAATACAGCTACTACAAGCCATGATATGGTGATCTCCATATTACCATTTCTATCATCTCCACATGGCTGATGCAGTGGGAATGTCCAAATGGAGAAATAAAACTGGTTTTGCAGAATTTGTTCTCCTGGGACTGAGTGATGTTCCTGAACTGCAGATATTTCTCTTCTTGGCTTTTCTCCTTATCTACATGGTGACCATGACTGGAAACCTTCTGATACTCATTCTTATTGCATGGGATCACCATCTTCACACTCCCATGTACTTTTTCCTGGGAAATCTTTCATGCTTGGAAACTTTCTACAGTTCATCCATCCTTCCCAGGATGCTAGCTAGTTTCTTGACTGGACAAAGGACAATTCGTCTTTGGGGTTGTTTTTTGCAATTTTATCTTTTTGGCTCCCTGGCAGGCTCAGAGTGTTATTTGTTAGCTGCTATGTCTTATGACAGATATTTAGCCATCTGCAAGCCTCTTCATTATTCATCCTTAATGAATAATACACTTTGCATATGCATGATGATGGGATCATGTCTGAGCTGTTTTCTGCTTAACTCAGTAACAACGTATTTGATCACCCAGTTATCATTTTGTGGCCCTCATATTCTAGACCATTTCTTTTGTGATTTCACCCCACTGATAAAACTTGCCTGTGATGATACCCAGCAGATGGAATTGTTGGGTTTTGTCATCTCTTTTGTAATAGCGGCTGTACCATTTCTTCTGACCCTGATGTCATACAGTTTGATCATTTCCAAGATCCTGAAAATTCAAACAAACATTGGGAGACAAAAAGCCTTTTCCACTTGTTCATCCCACCTCACTGTGGTGATAATATTTTATGGAACCCTTGTCATTGTCTACATGCTTCCTGAAGCTAAAACCCTGAAACATGTGAACAAAGTTTTTTCTGTCTTTTATACTGTGTTAACCCCCATTGTCAATCCCATTGTATACTGTCTGAGAAACAGAGAAGTAAAGAAGTCTCTGAGCAAGCTTACCTGTCAAGTGTTGAGTTTACTCAGAAATTGGGTGCAAAAGTAACTTTAGAATGAGCAAGCAGTGCTATTTATGACATGTTCTAATAATTAATTGCTGGTATGAATCTAGTTCTCCTGCCAACAGTAACCCCATATGCCAACTGAGCTCATGTGGACCATAAATGAGGTCCTTATTATTGAACTTTGATAGCAATATTATAAAGCTTCACCAGCTATGCCAGGCCTAGATGATTTGATTTTGTGGACTAGTGCCAGGTATGTTTCTTAATGATGTAATGTCCCCATATTTAAACTTCCCCCCGTGCATGTGCATTTGGCCAGGTTATGTGTGTTCTGTTTCTTTTAGGCCCCAGTCTTGCACACATGTCTTTCCATATCTAATGTTCATACAGATAAAATATATCATCCCATCTTCATACAAATAAAATCCCACAATTCATCAGTGTCTTTTTATCCATCCTAAGGAGGAATGATTGAAAGTCTCTGGATAGTTACCCTTCCTGAGTTCCAGTGTTCTGAGTGGAAAATGGATATATGAATGGAATGATAATGAATGAGAAAGCCTTCTTCCTGGGTAGGTGGTTGTCGGGAAGATGATATATATAGAAATAAAGAACTGGAGCAAATCAAACTTTAGTGTAAGTAATGTATTATTGAATAAATGCAAGCACAATACTGTGTTTTTGTTGTGGTGAATTTAGAAACAATGGCAACAACAAAGAGTAGTATGTTAAAGCTTCTATATATCATGTTTTATATATTCCCAGCCAAAAATACAATGTTCATTTACCATGCATGTGGACACAGATTTTTCTGTCCATGTTGATTAATTGGAAAATTCATGAGCACATCTTAAGGAAGGTCCCAAGGGTCAGGAATTCCTAAGGGGTTGGGAGTCCAGTGGCAGCACAGCAGTGGGGAGGAGGGATATTAAATATACATGAATAACTTTTAAAAAGTAAAGAAAGATCAAACAGTAAAAATGGGGGAGGGGGTTTAAGTCCAAGAGAGTGTGATAGGATGGACTATTGAATTGGGCACATTTAGTCCAATTAACCAGGAAATTCATGATCAGCATGTTTCTAGGAGAAGAGGAAATACAAGAGGATACAATTTGTCAAGTGAACAGAGACATTTGGGAAAAAAAATCTACAACAGGACTTTAAAAATGTTACATTAATTATGACAGGAATATCCTGCCCCTTTCCTCCAAGGAAGCTTGCACAGCACTTTGAACCCACGACCAAGGTTATAAATAAAAATAAAAAATACTATGTTCTTTGAGATTTACAGCATATTCCAAATGTTCTCCAGAGCCTCTCAGATATGGTTATTGAGTTCTCTTGGGACTGCTGAATCCCCAGTGTGTTTTTAGGCAAGGCCTTTAGTTTTCAATAATTTTTACTTCATTCATGGAATTTTCCAAGGAGCTAAGAAAATTTGATTGTTATTGCCTTGAGCACCCACTCACTGCCTCCTTTTCTGTGCACATTGTGCAAGCAAAACTTGCTCATGCACCAGAGTAGCTGCTCAATTAGCATTTGGGATAGGGGGGTGCTTTCCTGGCAGGTGCCATACAATTTCTGTTTAGAACCCCTGGCACATAGTGTCTGAGAAAGCACTCTGGTTCCATGCTTAATGGTTTGGAATTTAAATATATTATTTCGGCAAATGATATTCTACTATCTTGGAGTTCCAGTTATCTGTTTCAACTTTGATGCAGATGATTCATAGTTTAATGAATTTGTTTGGCTAGTCTATTAATTGGTTGAAGTTTAAACCAATCTTGACTGGAGATACTATAATGCCAATGCAGGAAATGTTGCATATATCTAACTCCAACTTAGTTCCAAGGTCCACTGTGTAAGCTATAAAGGAAGCATGGTACTGTGTTATAGTGCACATGACTCTTGTGTCATGAATTCACAGTGCATCCAGGGTCAGTAAATAATTCTTTGTCTTGAAATAATTCAAAGTGGCAACTTAGAATGTGTCCACTGGGTTTTTGTAAAATAAGGAGCTCCCTTGTGAAGAGCATGCTATCACCTCATTATCTCGATAAAATCTACATAAACAAACACAGAGCCACTTCACTATGCTGAGGAAAGAAGGAGTGGGTGGTGTTTTAGGGCTTGGATAATGCTTTCTAGAGGGTTCTAACAAAGCAGGAAGAAGGCAAAAATGATGTCAACAGCTTTCCACTGGTAGATACATGGTAAGTATGTCAACAGTCAGAAGGCTGAAGTGACTTTTTATGAATTTGATTCCTTCCCCTTCCCCTTCCCTTTTATACTTTTCACAGCATTCAAAGAAGTTAGGTTATAAATTTAAAAAGTTTTACAATGCACAATTGCATCTTAAATAAATAACAAGGAATGAGGAAAACTTCAGCAAGCACAAAGAACCAACTTCTGTTTAAAATAGTGACAAAACCTAAGGGGTCAAACCCAACAAAATTTATTCCACTAAGCTATGGGTAGATTGAGCATTCTCAGTAGCCATGCAGTTTTAGGCTTCCATTGAAAAAGGAACACAGAAAATCAGAGGGACTTGAGTTGTCCTGGTTGAATTCCTTTTACCTTATAGTGACCTGAAGCAGGTGTAACTGGCTGGCATCTCCCAACTGGAGTGAAAGTACACAACTGCATATTATGGCAGAATTGAAACTCAGAATGTGCACCCGTCCGTTTAGGAAGGAGTGATGCTTTGTATGTTACAACCATAGAGGTCCAGCAATCCTCACCTCATTCTAGTACTATCTCTGCAAAACTGTGCATTTATGCAATGCTGTCCTATTTGAATAGTGCATTCCACCTATGAACTCTGAGCTTTGTGATTAGAATATGAAACTCTGAAGCAAATTTTTTCTTCATGATAAAGCTCTTCTTATGAATATCAGGCAGCTTGCAGCTGCAATTCACAGATCTATTGCAATGTGGAAAAATAGATCTCCTTTTCATTCTACACCACATCTTTCAACAGAAATACCATGGAGAAAACCAAATGGGTTAACAGGACAAGCACCACAGAATTTATTCTTCTAGGGTTTGGAAATCCCCAAGAGCTGCAGATACCTCTCTTTGTGATGTTTCTTCTGGTCTACATTGTGACTATAGCTGGGAACATTGCCATAGTTTCCTTAGTTGCAACTAACAGACAACTTCAAACTCCCATGTACTTCTTTCTGGGGAACCTATCCTGCCTGGAGATCTGCTACAGCTCAACCATCTTGCCCAGGATGCTGACCAGTGTCCTCAGTAGAGACAATAAAGTGACACTGAGTGGCTGCCTTACCCAGCTTTACTGTTTTGGCTTTTTGGCAACTGTGGAATGCTATCTGTTGGCTGTGATGGCATACGATCGGTACATAGCCATATGCAAACCATTGCACTACATAATTATTATGAAGATCAGAGTGACCGTCCGGTTGGCAGCAGGATCTTGGTTATGCCCCATCATTTTTCTGGCAGTAATTATTGTGTTAATTTCAGGATTGACTTTTTGTGGTCCCAATGAAATCAACCACTTTTTCTGTGATCTTGATCCAGTAGTTAATCTCTCCTGTACAGACATCAAACCAGTTACACTGGCAATCTTCATTATAGCTTGTATAGACACATTCCCACCATTTCTACTCACTCTGACATCTTATGTTTTTATCATTCTCTCCATCCTGAAGATCCCATCCACCAAGGGTAGGAAGAAAGCATTTTCAACCTGTTCCTCTCACCTTACTGTGCTGAGTCTTTTTTATGGCACCTTAATTATGGTGTACATCCTGCCCAAAACAAACAGCTTGAAGGATGTAAAGAAAATATTTTCTGTTTTTTACACCGTGTTGACTCCCCTGGCTAATCCCATCATATACACCTTGAGAAATAAGGAGGTGAAAGATTCTCTAGTAAAAGCCTTTGATAAAGTGAACATGCCTCTAGGTATTTAACCTTATCATTAATATAATTGGAAGAAATTTAATAACAAGAAGAAACAATTGCACGCAACTTCCCTGTAGCTTTTCTTTTTCCTTTTGATTTCCAAAATAAAATTCTCTTGGGTGACTTGCTAACACAACGATAGTTTCTCAAAGATGTTGCAGAATGTAACTCTGAATTGTTTGACTTGTAATTTCCTATTAGAAAGCAACAGTGGACATATGTCCAAAATTATGACTCTTAAAATATCATTGTATGATCCTAGGTGTATCCATGTATGTACAAGATTACAGCCAGCTGAAATTATTACAGGAATTTTCTAGATCGATCTATTTACTATAATTTCTACCCAATTATAGAGGACATCATCTCAGAAAAAAATAAATACATGTTTTCTGAAAGAAACACTTGCTCATCCAAACTACAATTCTGTGTGGTAATCCTTCTTAGTATTCAGTATTCTACAAAGATAAGCATTTTTAAGAGAAATACATTGGGTTTGAGGTGTGTGGGTGTCATCTTCTTTTTGCAATTCTAAATGTGAAAGGAAAGGGTTTCATGCTATTGATCGTATGATCTCTAGATCACATTGAAGCAGTAACTTAAGAAGCCAAGAAATCCAGTCAGAATGAGAAAGCAAGTGATTTGTGAAAGGCAGTGTTTCCTTAGAGGAAAACTATACTTTTCATGAATCAAAATTTTCAAAATTATTGAATATTCCACTCTAATGATCAAGAAAAAGTAGTCACATGTTTCTGATGTAGATAATATTCTGAATGAGAGTCTTTTCTGTCCATGTCTATTTACTAAAAATCAAGCAAATTTTATTTTCAAGGGCAAACATTTCTTGAGTAGGGAGACTTTATTACTGCAACTACTTAGTTGGATCAGTTGTGTACTTCAATGCAGGGTGGTAGTTTGAACTTTTCTCTCTCTGCTGCGTATTTATTATATCACCTATATAAAATTTATTATAAAATGTCCATCTTCATAGTACTCATTATTGAAGCATCTTTCCAAAACACACATCTGACACTGAATTCTGAAAAAAAAACTTGTGGGATCATACACCACAGTAACAGAATCCACAAGAACTTTTTACACTAGAGGGAAGAATGCTTCTGGTGCTACCTGTCTTGAAGTATAACTTATGTAGAGCTATGGGAAACATAAAATAGCAAAGTGATAATAGCAGAATGAGTAGGTAGAATTTTTAGAGAGGAAGGTTTATTTAACAGCTGGGAGAAGATCGCATGTTACTTGAATGAAAGAGAGGGAGGGAGGGGAGGGAGAGGGGACTGAGAAAAGAGCATGGCATTTAGACTGATGTATACAATTTTGCATCACCATTTGGAAGAAGCTGCTCATTTTGGAGCCCCTCACAATGGATATACAGCACTGGCACAAAACAAACACATGAAAGGAACCCAGCAGTGTCTGTATATTTCCACCCACCCACCCATCCATTTATTTGCCTAATCATCTATCTATCTAAATGTTATATGCTGGGCATTTATAATCACTGTATTAAGCAGCTTTATACATTTCTCCTTGTAGTTTAACAGGGTCACAACCAGTTTAACAAACCACAATTCTGATTTAAACTGCAGCCTACATATTGGCATCCCTCAGGTAAGTAAAATGCTATTTTGTGAAAAGCCCCTGAATTCTCTCACCTCCTCTTAATTATATTCATGCTAATCACTATCATTCATGTAGTGATTGCTAGCATGATGTTTGTAATGTTCTAAGCTGTGCTATATCACATTTAGTGATATTTGATCAAACTTGCATCCAAGCTCAGTCAATGCCCTCCTGTGACAGAATGCATGAATGTGTGATAAAGAGGTGGGAAAGTGAGATTTTCTGCCAGAAATGTGCTTTTTTTTTTTTTTTTTTTTGCCTTTAAACCAAAGTGACCTAATCTCTGACAACAAGAATAAAATCAGCAGTAACAAAAGAGCAACCAAATCCTACACCTATGTCAATAACCATATAATATAACTGGGAATGAGCAAAAGCAGTCTTCCAGAGTTTCCCACTCCATTTTTGGGTGGAGAAAAAAATGAGTGGGGAATCTCCATATTTGAGTGGGAGGTTTAACTTTTCTCAGAAATTTTGGCTTACTTCATTCTGAATGCTGTAGTGTAAGTGTAAGATATACATACAATGAAATCATGATAGTAGTAGTATTGTTAGTTCTTACTGGCAGGATGAAGGAAGCAATGGGATAGAAGGGGAGGATGGGGTGAGCCCAGTGTAGCAGAGTTGTAGGAACACTGGAGCAGGACTCAGGAGATCCAGGTTCTATTTCCCTAGCAACATGTAGAAAGCCTTCTGTTTGTTGCAAGAGGGAAACTCCATGGGACAGCAGTGGAGTAATAAAATAATTAAATATGAAAGAGTATGGAAGCTAAATAAATGAAAGCTAAATGTGCTTTTTATTTTTGAAAAATGTGTACAAAATGCATGCCCTTTTCATGCAAACTTAAGCAAATTACAATCTGATGTGGAAATGGGATAGAATGAATTTCACAGTAGGATGGAAATAGAACAAAACTCAATGGCGTGGCCCCCAAAGCATCCTAATCCAAATCTGTTTAAACTTTAAAAAGTCCATTTTATAGATGAAAGGCAGGAAATTAGATGGATATGTGCCAAGTGATTTTGCGGAAGTTCATAGTCCAGAATATTATCTCATTCTGTTCACAATTCTCAGCTACATTCAGAGCTAAGAGGTGCATTTCCAAATTCATGTTTGTTCATAATTTAAACTGAAAGCCTCCTATCCTGATCAGCCTGTAAAGGGAGAGAAGCAGGCCTCGGGCTGCTTCTGTATTCAGGTAATTCTGGAAACATGTTCAGTGAAACCTCCTGAGCAAATTTTGTCTCACTTCTTCTTGTTGTCATTTAAAACTTTCTAACCAACCAATTCATTCTCACTCATTATTATCCACCATCACCCTTTTCCAAAAATCCCTTGTTGTTCTTGCAGTGTCCATTGTAAGATGCAGTGCAAGACTCAGTGCTGATCACCACATAATTATTCCCTCCTTCTAGAGCTAATACAGCTGCCTGAAACAGTCTCCTGCACCTTGGTGCATGGTGGGACTGGTCCTGAGAAGTCAGAGCAAGCCTCTTTCTGTTCCATTCTTCATTCTGATAGAAGGACAGGAATATCAGGAATCCATTTCAGTTCATTTTTTTTAAAAGTAGGATTATCTCAGTTCATATATCCCAGTCTAAACATGGGCCTGAACACAATCCAAGGTCATACATTTATCACCTTGCAATGTGATTCATTGACCACCATCCACTTCTCCCAAAATTGTCAGGTTCCATGTGCACATTTAGGATATGTTTATGAAAAATAACCTTCTGGAAAATGTGCTTATGCATGGTTTAATCAATGAAGAACAAGCTTACATTTCAAAAGTACATTTGGAAAAATACACAGAAAAAATCAAATCTCAAAATCTAACATGGACCTGGGTCAACACAAACAACAAGGACTTGGATAGAGTTTTCTTGTGTACATATCCCTAATTTGGACAGGACTTTTTCCTCATGTAGAAATATTTTGTATGCATCATAATTCAACAATTGTCTGAGGTCAGTTTCCTACTCCAATGTACATAAACTCTGAATGCAAGGACAAATCACAAGCATTTTTTCTACAATAAATTTCTAGAACATTTTATGTGAACCCTGAGAAATGTTAGCAACATTATGAGCAATGAACCTTGCGGAAATATTTCATTGACATCTCAGACCAGTTCAATAAAACAGACACAATGCGTTAGGCAATATTTTCAAAATTGCTGGTCATTTCAAAATTACGATTCTCCTAAATGTTCTTCTCCAAGCTCCTTGGAATTCACCTTTCCTCAGGCTGTATATAACAGGGTTGAACATGGGGGTCACCACTGTGTACAGCAGACTAAGGTATTTCTGAACTTTAGCAAACATCTCAGTAGGTGGCACCATAATGAGCGTTCCATAGAACATTGTTACCACAGTGAGATGGGAAGAGCAGGTGGAAAAAGCCTTTTGCCTCTTGGTGCTAGATGGGATTCTTATGATAGTGGATACAATGACAATGTAAGATGCTACAGTTAACAGGAATGGGATGAGAGTTGCCATGGCTGCAAGGATAAGAAAAACTAGTTCAGTTTGATCACTGACAGGGCAGGTTAGTTTAAGCAGCATTATGGAATCACAGAAGAAATTTTCTAATTCCCAAGGGCCACAAAAATGTCTTCTCAGTATGAGGCAGAAACCAAAGCCAACAAGAAGAAAACTCATGATCCAGGATGCAGTGGAGAGCTGAGTGCATAAAATGTGGTCCATAACAGCACCATAGTGCAAAGGACAACATATTGCTAAGTACCCATCATATGCCATTGCAACTAGGAGAAAACATTCAGCAGCTGCAAAGGACCCAAAAAAGTAAGCCTGAACTAAACAACCTAGCAGAGAAAGGTGCTTCCTCTCCTTCAAGAGCCCTAAAAGCATTGGTGGAATAACAATTGATGTGTAGCAGGTCTCCAGACAAGACAAGTTCCCCAGGAAGAAGTACATGGGGGTGTGGAGACATGGATCAGTCAAAATTAGGATAATAATTAGGAGATTCCAAGCTATTGTCAAGATGTTGATCACCAAAAATGTCAGGAAGATGAAAGCCATTGGATGATACAGATTCTGGAACCCAAGCAGAATGATTTCAATGTTTAAAGTCTGGTTCGAATCATCTTGACTTGCCAGGAATAATTGCTGAGAAGAATGGAAAATAATCCAAGCCACTGAAAAGATTAATTAAGTCTTTCTGTTTCATTGCAGAACATTCTGTTCCTCAGATCTTTGGCATGAGAGATTTCATAGCATGGAATTCAAAGTGAAAAGTTCCAAATGAATTACTTCAATGCTAGTTTACTTTGTGTTTAAATAAAAGTAAATAAATGAACTCAGTAAGCAATAAACAGGGGCAGGGGATTCCCACATTCAACTAACTTAGGACAACAGTAAATCATGCTACAACAATATTTTATTTAAATATTTAAATTGCTCTTCAAAAGCAAGTGAGATTGCAGCACACCAATTTTCACATACAATATCAAAATATTTCTAAAAACAAACAATTAGAAAGTATTAGAACATGTCAGTAATCCATAGAAGAAAGGAATGCAGTTAGGCTGGAATTATATGGCAAGCTAATATTTAATTTCTTCTAACTTGGTAACACTATGAAGATATTCATGATGGCTATGTGCTACTCTCAGTATCACATACATGCTTCTGAATACCACTTGATGAATACTAATAGCAGAGGAGGATTATTATGCTCATGTCATGTGTGTGGACTTTCCATGGACAATGAATTGACACTGGGGGAAAATGATGCTGGACAAGACTGGTTTTGGTCTGATCCAACAGTGCCCAAAAATGTTGATTTTTACATTTGTATGAAGACTTCACTATAAGCGCGAGGGGGGAGGGGACTATACACAATCGATTGAATAACTGCATTGATGTTATCAACATAAAGAATCATTTTGAGATCTTTCTGACGAACCAGAAACTATACTTTTCCATGGTTTCCTGTATTGCAGCAAAAGCCCTACCCTCAAACCCTGCATATCAGCCATGCATATTCAGAGAATAGAAATCTGTTCACAATGGATTTCTGCTGTGCATTGATCACTGCCCTCTATGGGTATATTGATTTGCTTCAAAAACACCTTGTTTGGGGGAATTCCATCATACTATCTGTGGCAATAAATGTATGAAGATCCACTCACATATTCAAACCGCTTTGCATGTGTAACCCTAAGCAAACAATATGGAAGAAGAAGAAAATGTGGTGGCACATTTGTGATTCAGCACAAATTTATAGACCTGCTACTGTGTGTCAACTAAGAACACCAACTGTGGGCCAGAAGTCTCAATTTCAAATGTCACCAAAGACTCAAAAATAGCCTTGAAAAAGTAATCACTTTCACACTCTCAATTTCCCTTTTTGATAAAAGTGGGCTAATAATATTAATCTTCAGGTTGCTTGTAAGGCAATCTAAGATACTAGGTTAGACAACACTATTATTTCTTCCCTATAGAAAATTCTGTTTGTTTAAAAAAAAGAATGGAAGTGTACTGAGTTTGGAATGTCAGAAACAACTATGCATACTTTATACATGTTATATAGTATTACAGTCTGAACACTATATTAAAGTTTTCCTTGAAAATCCTTCTCTTCAAGAAAATCCAAACTAAGAAATCATTAATGTATGTTTATGTACTCAACATAGATGCTACCTTTATGTACAAAAGATGAAGTTCAGCATGCCTTAATTATCCAGCAAGTCAAACTTCTTGCAGATAAACCTTCTGTAACGTCTAAAACATTTCTCTTTAAAGCAAGGCTTATTATCATAATGCACCATTCCATTCTGTAAGAATGTTCAGTTTTGCGATAACTTCTGGTCACCTGCTGAGAGACAAGAAAATAAGCCAGAGCATAACATGCTATTAGTCAAAATGATTACTCAGAGGATATGCATGAGATATCCTTCTCTAAATATGAAAAACTGCAAGGTGTTGGTGATGTAATGGGATTCCCAAGGCATATTTTTAAAGTCTTGGGACTTGAGTGAAGGGTAATGATGTAGAATTGTCGTTTTGCTTTCTGTTATGGCTGACATGTAAACTAACCTTTGTGGGTGGAGGAATGCCACAATCTCACCTTTGGAATTGGGCTGCACAAATAAGGAATACAAGGGTGCAGAATCTTGTGATTTTTAAAAAAATGAAAGTCACTGGAAGCCTTGAATGTTTGTGTTTTGCCAATTATTTCATGAGATTTCCTGATAACCAATGTGTCCAGGTATACTCAAAGAGTTAGATGACATGACTGAGTTTAAACTAACATAAGGCCATATGAACATAACAACTGTCATGTAGGATCCAATCAAATGAAACATACCTTATATTGTTTTGATCTTGTGCCTTCCATTATTGTCTATGTCCCTATTATATCTCCATCATGTGAAGCCAATAAGGGCCAGTGCCAGACCAAATCAATTAGCTTCTGAACAGTCAGTCTCACTTCACATCATCATCATCACATTGTCTAGAAGAAAGTGTGTACTTGTCCATAGATATTAGGACAGTCTTAAGAACAGTCATCTGCAGAGTACACTGTTGACAGGCAGGATGAAGGAAGAGCATATTGTGGCAGGGTAATTTATTGTTTTGGTTCAGGGATTGTGTGAGTTAGCGCTGTTAACCCCCAAATTATGGATTTATGAGAATTGGTTTTGTATGCAAAATATTCAAACATGTTTCACCCACCTTAGGGAGATCTCTTTGAAGCTTATCACAATCCCTTTTGGGTTTTGCCATCCTAAATGAATTGGTGCAATCAGCAAACTTGGAGACTGCTTTTTGCTAATTTGAGATCATTTATGAATACATTGAAAAGCATTAGTCCTAAGGCAGAACCCTGTGGGTTACATTCCTCCAATGGGAGAAATTGACATTGATTCTGACTTCTTCTTTCTGTTCTTTATCCAGTTCCTGATCCATAAGAGTCCCCCCTCCCATGGCTCATCCATGTTATTAAGTTTGCTCAGTAGTCTTTGGTGAGCAACTTTGTCAGAAGCCTTTTAGATGTTCAAATAAGCAGTGTCTTCCATAAATCTCCTGCTCACATTTTCTTGACAGTCTTAAAAAACTTGAATAGGTTAGTGGAACAAGACCTAGCTTTGTGGAAATGATGTGAATTCTCTATCAGCAGGGCTTTTCCTACATACTCAAAGATTTTGTCTTTAATACCTCTTTCACTAGTTTACCCAGCTCAGATATTCTGCTAATCATCCTGTAATGTTTTAGATCACCCTGGATCCTGTTTTTAAAGTTGATGTTATTTTGGCCATTCCCAGCCCTCTGGCAGAGAGGCTGAACCTAGGGCCATTTTGCTTTTATACTGGATGAATTATCAAGGCTCCTGGGAGATGCATGAAGAGCTCCTTCTGTGGATGTGATGCTGGGCATAATTTCTAGTGTGGGCATTGGAAATTTTTGGTCCCTGCCACTGCCGGTATACTCCCCATCAAAACAGCTACATCCCTTGCAAACAAAAGATATGGAGGCTTCAATAGCCTTTATGGGATGTTCAAGCTTAGTTTGTTTGCAAACAGAATGTGGTCTTTTAGGTGTTTTGGAGCCACAACTTTCCCCTAACAGTTCAGTTTAGCTTGGAAGATACCTAAATCAAAAGATTGCCACTTAATTTTGGTGACAAGATGTTTATTTGAAGATTTGGGGAGGTGGGCAGGACATACTGCATGGTGTGTGACCTGCGCTTGGGATATCAGGGGAAACATGTGCCTGAGGCCTCCAGCACCAACCCCTGATCTGGTATTTGCAAGAGGTATCTCTGCCTAATACCTGTTAAGAATGCTGCTTCTTTTCTCCCCTTATGAGTGTGAATACATCACAAAGTCTCCAGTGCTTTCAAATGTCAAAGAAACCACATGTGAACCTTGAAATCTTGGAGATTTGCTGAGAAAAGTAATGAGAAATTGACCATTTATTAACCTAACATTTAGAAAATTATCCTACATTTTGCCCTTCAAGTTGGAAAATATTCTGTTGTTTCTATTTTACCACTCAAGCTCTCTCAAATGATTCATAGTATTCTTTAATGAAAATATGGAGAATAGAGATGGATTTTTCTTCCCTAGAGGTGTGATAATTAGGCCAGGGGGAAGGATTAGTCTTTGGATGAACCTTATAACTCCAAAGCAATGAATTCCCATTCCTCTGCCTAAGCTTCTGGTGACTCTTCACTCCATTCTTAGCCATCACTCTTGCACATTGGAAGAGAAGAGAGAACACATATTGCAGGTACATGATGCAAAAGCACTGTACATTATCTGAAACCAGGGTCTCTGGCACAATGAACTTAAGATTTAGAGAACCTCAGGACCAAAATTCACCATGAAGTCCTTCTCTGCAACCCACAAGCTATGTATATGGTTCCTATCAATCTCCACAGGGGGTTCTACCCAACAGAATTTCACTCTGGTTTTCAAAGAACATGTCAGAATTATTCAAATATATGATAACTGAAGCAAGAATGATAAGTGCTTCTAAATGGAGAAGACCAGGATTCCAAGAATTGAAGAAACACTGGAAAAATAAGTTCGCAGAGTATGTGGTCATGGCAAAACTAATTATGTAAACAGAAGACTGAGTGAAGAATTTAATGATAATGGAAATTCTGTTTTATTCAGTATAATTCATATGGTGTAAAAGGAAGTTCATTAAAATGTTGTTGATGATTTATAGGTGATGTGAAGTGATTAGAATTTTCCCAAGCTTCAGCAGAGTACTGGCTGACAAAAAGATAGACAAATTGTTGGTGTCTTTGGAAATTTGCTGGTTATGAATGTATTGGTTATATTGCGTTAACATCCCTTAATGATTTATTTCACTTCTTTTCTTATACTTCATTTCTTTCTGTATCTTATTTATTTTAAGAAAACAATTTTACACATAGACATACACGTATACAGAATTTCACTGTGTTGACCATGTATTCTCAGCATTTGGGCTATGTCAGTTTCATGCATAATCACAACAGAATGAATTTTAAACATCTTTAAAAATTAGGGTTCGATGTAAGACTTGCCCAAAACCACCTTATCAAGTGTACAGCTGAATGGGAATTCAAATCTGAGCATCCCATATTGAAGCTCAACATTTTAGACTAGGCTTGGTTGAAACTGCTCAGATAAGTTCCTTTACCTGCTTTGCTAAAAAGGAATCCCAAAATTGTTTTTTATTATTTATTTAGGTATAATTTGACTTTCCACAAAATATATCCTGCTAATTTCACCAGTGTGGAAGACTGAAAATGAATATGGAAGAAGTTATGTCTACATCAAAAGTGCTAATCACATACAGTGGTCTGGGAGTTATCCTTCAAATACCATTCACCAAAGCCCCATTTAGAATTTTAAAAAAGGTGGTTAATAAGAGCAAAATATCCCAGGCTTTACATTGGAGCTGGCATAATAATCCCTTTCATGCTAGTATAAGGATCATTAGGGCAACATGAGAAAAATGTGCCAGAGGACAGTGTCTAAATGCATGCTGTTGGAATTTCTTTTCCCTGCAGCTACTGCAACTCCTGAGATAAATGTTTGATACCACATTTTTATATGGTGATTATATGGTGAAGTGACCTTAGGTGATTAAGTTTTCCTAAGGTCACTTCAATTGAAAGAGGAATTGTCCTTTGGCCTTCTAAATAAGCTGAAAAGTGATTAATAATGGGTAAACGTATATACAGTACACATACATACATACACACAGACATATGGGTTTGGGTGGCAAAGAATAGTAGATTTTTGCTAAAAAGTAGAGGATGTTGGGTTTTGAAAGTGATCTTTGCTAGGATAATTTTTGCATAAGTAGGAGACCACACATTTCTTAATCTCCTGAATATATTTTTCATTCTGCTTCAAGAATAATGCTGACATTCAAAATCATTAATCTTTTTCAGCTTTTGTTGAAATTGGTTCTATCCCAGAAGACTGGAGAATCAAACAGAGATTACACATTTCATTCTGATGGGCCTAACAGATCAACAGGAGGTTCAGAGCATCCTGTTTGCACTCTTCTTGATCCTCTATCTAGTAAGTGTGATTGGCAATGGGACCATTTTGTATGTGGTGATGGCAGAGACCCAACTTCACACACCTATGTATTTTTTTCTCAGCAACCTCTCCTGCCTGGACATTTTCTATTCTACTGTCATCCTTCCAAAGATGTTGTCTGGCTTTCTCTGGGCCCATCAAAGAATCTCCTTTGCAGGATGCATCACTCAGCTCCATTTCTTCCATTTCCTGGGCAGCACTGAGGCTCTCCTTCTAGCTGCTATGGCTTATGACCGCTATGTGGCCATATGCAAACCACTCCACTATCCAGTCATCATGTGTAGACAGAAGTGCCTTCTGCTGGCAGCTACCACTTGGGTCACAGGGTTCTTCCATGCCCTGATGCATACACTAATGACAGCTCAGCTTGATTTCTGTGGTCCCAATATCATCGAGCATTTCTTCTGTGACATCAAGCCGCTACTGAGATTGGCTTGCAGCAGCACGCAGCTCAACCTACGCCTCCTCAACATTGTCACAGGATTAATTGTCACGATCCCTTTCTTCCTAACACTTCTTTCTTACCTCTACATTATCTCCTTCCTCCTACTGAAGATGAAATCACACAGGGGGAGATGCAAGGCCTTCTCTACCTGTAGCTCCCATCTCACCGTTGTTGGCTTGCTGTATGGACCTGTACTGTTCAATTACCTTCCCCCTTCCTCAGGAAATTCACCAAGAAGAGACATGGTAGCCACCCTCATGTACAGTGCAGTTACCTCTGTTCTGAACCCCTTAATTTACACACTGAGGAACCAGGAGATGAAAGCAGCTCTGACAAAATCCCTGGATACACTATTGGCCTCTGTAAGGGTGTGAATAATACTGTGAAATCTATTGTCTGGCATGTATCACTAGTATCTTGAAATGGGACATTCGTCAACATAAGAGCTCAAGTAGAAAAAAGTTCCAAGGAAATCTTTGGCACAGCACTGTCTGCTTTCTGATTTTGAGAAATAACGTTGGAAGAAAAAATTGTTTTTAGTCATCAGAGCAAATCCCTATGTTTCAACCACAGTTGGTGAAAAGAACATATGAATTATGTTCAATGTCTGCACCAGCTTTTGGTTTTGTAGTCTCATCATATTGTCAGTGAGAAGTTCCTTCTAAGAATTTTAGCTCAAAGTGACCTAGAAAATAAATAAATATCTCAGGATATACCAAAAATTCAATTTTATTCCTTTGTTTTTTTTTTTTTGGTGGGGGGATTATCATGTTTAATCATGGCTGTAATGATTGATTATTGGTTAGCCATGATTGGTTCTATCCTCATATTCTACTCTTATCTTGCTGGAAGCTGCTCCAAATAATTCCACCTTCTTCCTTGTTATCTTCTACTATTGGTTTTTACCATATGTCCAATCCATAGAATAGGGCTCTGCGAGTGTTTTTCAGCTAACAAGCCAAAAAATGCTGTTGCTGTGATGCAGGTCCATGGAAGGTGGGGGAAGCATTCCAGTCCAGCTTAGTGGAGGAAACAGAAGAAACTCCTGTCTATGGTGTCCTATCTATGATGGGTCATTCACAAATGTTTGTTATTCATCACCAAATATGTCCAAACTTGAACCCTATAGAAGAGGTATACTAATTGTAATGCATACAACCAAAAATGAGCCAGAAAAACATGTTGATTAGACTAAAATTGGAATCCATTGCTTACTGACCACCTATAAAGTAATGAAAGCATAAGTAAGATAAAGCCATTTGAGGTGGGCAGGATTATTGTGGCTGAAGATCACAGTTCCAAGTAGCCACAGTTCCCTTATCTAAATAATGCTCTGTATCACAATCTGGGTCCATTCCTGCATGTGAAAGTATGTGTGCATGTGTGTGCGTTGCTACTAATAATCAGCAAATAGCATTTTCAAAGGGCAAACAATTCTAAGGCAGGGAAACATTAATACTTCAAAAGTTTAATTGGATCCTTTGTGTACTTCATTGTGGAGTGGTGGTTTGAACTTATGTCTCTCTGATGTGATTCTCTTGTCTATTACATTACCCTGGATTCAAACCATTAAGTCACAATCCCCAGATGAACTGTTTTAGTAATTTTGCTTACACAGCATCAGGCAAATAAAGGAAGGTTGTTGTTCAAATATATTATTTTCCCCAGCCATAACAAGAAAATTTGATAGGATATCACCAATGATAAAAAGTTAGTCTTCATACTGTCTGTTGTTGGAGCATCCTTCCAAGGCACTTGTTTGACACAGATTTGAAAGAAGTTTGAGGGTTCATCTGCCACAGTAGCAGAATCCATGAGCACATTCTGGGCTAGAAAGAAAAATACTTCTGGCAGTATCTTAAGTTTAGCCTGTTTACAGTTATGGGAAATCAGACAAAATGACAGAGTTAGGTGATCAAGAACACATGATGGCCATACAAATGAGCACCTGCTAAAATAAATCCAGATATAAATTCAACTCTCTAGGCAGAATTACAGAGGAGACAGAAATATTGTTTTAAAAAAGAATATGTATGCATCTCTTAAAAATGAATATAGAAGAAGAAGAAGAATCTATGAAAAGATAGTTGAATGATAACAAAATGGATAGACAAAATTCGTAAAGAAGAAAGATCTGTTTCACAGTTGGGAGATCAGATGTCACTGGAGGAAGGGAGGGAGGGACATATAGACTGTAATGGACAGTCTTTCGCCATCATTTGGAAGGACCTTTGCATTTCTGAATCCCTTAATGCATATTCGGCAGTGATACATACATACACTAATATTTATATCTATCAGAATGACAAATGCTGGAAATTTGTAATAACTTAAGCTAGAAGTTTTAAAGGTTCAGCATTGCAGTGTAACATTTTAACAGGTAACAACTCTGATTTGAAATACAATCTATGCTTTGGAGTCCTTTTTGTTACAAAATCCCATGAATTCTCTCACCTCTTCTTGATTATATTCATTCCAGTAATTATCACTTATGTAGTGATTGCTAGGAGGATAGTTATACTTTTCTAAGCAATCATTATCACTGGTCCAATACTTTTTTGTGATATCTGACCAAACCTGCACCCAAAGGCAAGCAAACCCCTCCTGAGGCAGAATGTATGGGTGTGTGATGATGAGCTGAGACAGTAAAACCTAGCTACTTCACCTGTTGTAAACCATCCTGAGATGTCAATAATGGAATGGTATATAAAAGCTTTAAATAAATAAATAAATAAATAAATATACTTAAAATGTTTTCCCTCTCTTTTTATTCTGCCTTCCTAAAATGAGCAAGGTTCTAATGATAAGGACATAAAGAGATGCAGCAGCAACATAAAGAGCAGTCTACAGTGAAGGCTACATGCATGGCAGTGAAGCAATAATAAACCTGGGACCAAGCAAAAATAGAGTTCCAAAATTTCCACAATATTTTTGTGGAGGAAGAAAAGAGAGAGGGGTGAGAGGATCAACATTTTAAGTAAAGAGAGGGAATACTAGCTAGAGGCTTAAGGGCACAAAAAATAGTGATCTGGACTATACAGGAAAATCAATCAAACAAATTCATTTTCTCACAAAGCAAAGTAATTTTTGAGGATCATTTCTGGGGTTCTACCCTGGCTCATGGAGGAAAAGTATTCTGGTGTTAAGAAGTATATATATATTTTGTCAATTGCATACTGTACTCATTTCCACATAGACTATGCTCCACTCCTAGGGACTGCTGTGGAATATTATGGTATCACAACAGACCCAGCTTAAAACAATAATTGGTTTATTGAGTGAATATGAAAAGGATGAAATGTTCATCAAGTGTGCTAGATCTAGAAGTAATATCTTGGTATATATAACTGTATATATTGTACTATATGCTTTAGATTTCTACATTAGATCAAGGGTGATTGTGCAGAAAGATACTGTAAAGACCCCCTACAGTCATGGTTGCCAGAATGTTATTTTTGGGAAGGTAGTAAAAATTTTGATGAAAATCCATTCTAATTTAATCCCACCAGGTTTTTTGCTTGGACAGTCTACTGCAGGCATGTCCAAAGTCCGGCCCGGGGGCAAATTGCTGCCCATTTTCAAATTTCAAGTGGCCTGCAGCCTCTTCTCCCTGCCAGCTCAGCCTGTCACTCATCCCCGCCGGCAGACGTTTTTCCCTTCACCGCACAGCGGTTCCTGCAGCTGTCCCCTGCTGCCTCCTGCTCCTTCAAGGCTGCTGGTTATATTTCACCAGAAGATGGCAGTAGACCTGAGTCAGCACTCTTGCTGCATGACCCTTGTGACACAAGGCTTGTGTGCCCATTTCTAAAATGGCGACTGTAACTAAAAAAAGGAAAGTTGACATCGAGGGGAGGGCCACTGCTTCCAGGACAAGTAGAAATTGGAGTATTTTTTTCACTGAAATACGAAACAACTGTGTCTGCCTAATTTGCCAAGAGACTGTGGCTGTTTTCAAGGAATTCAGTATCAAGAGGCACTATCAGGTGAAACATGCTAACTACAACAAGCTAACTGGGAACGAACACAGTGAAAAATTGAAGGAACTGGAAGCTGCTTTAATAGCACAGCAGCGCTTTTTCACAAGAGCCCGTGAATCAAGTGAAAATGCCACAAAGGCGAGCTACGAGGTGGTAACGCTGATTGCCAAGCACTGCAAACCTTTTACTGAGGGTGAATTTATTAAAGACTGCGTGATGAAAATGGTGGAGAAAATTTGTCCTGAGAAGAAGCAAGAGTATGCCAATGTTTGCCTGGCTCGTAACACTGTGGTAAGGAGAATTGAAGATGTTTCATCTGATATTAAGAGACAGTTAGAGGCAAAAGGAGTGGAGTTTGACTTTTTTTTGTTAGACTGCGACAAAAGCACAGATGCATCTGACACCGCTCAGTTGTTGATTTTTTTGAGAGGTGTGGACAATGACATGAACATGAGTGAAGAGCTACTTGACCTCCAGAGCCTTAAGGACCAAACAAGAGGAACAGATTTATTTGTTTCCGTTTGTTCCGCCGTAGATGACATGAAACTACCATAGAATAAAGTCACTGGGATTATTATGGATGGTGCACCTGCCATGGCTGGCGAGCGAAGTGGATTATCAACCCTAGTCTGTAACAAAGTCAGTGAAGAAGGAGACAAAGCTATAAAACTCCACTGTATTATTCATCAACAAGTTCTCTGTGCCAAACATCTGAAATATGATCATATTAGGAAACCGGTGATGAAGGCTATTAATCACAACGAGGTAAGATGGCTCAGTCGGGGGTCTGCACTGCAGCGCTTCTACTCTCTTAGGGAGGAAATCAGACAATTCTTGGCAAAAAAGGGACAACCGATGCCAGAGCTATCTGATCCTGTTTGGCTGCCTGATTTTGGATTTTTAGTTGACATAGCACGACATCTGAACGTGCTGAACACGAGCCTTCAGGGGCGAAATGCAGTGGTAAGCCAACTGTATTCACATATCAAAGCCTTTGGGACCAAGCTGCTACTTTTCCAAAGGCACCTGTCACAAACGCAGCCCAATACCACACATTTCCCATCACTGCAGGAAATAATGACCAGTTTTCCACAGAACAATATGAGTGTGCAAATAAGGAGGTATGAAGCAGACATCTCTGGCTGAGGAGTTTCAACAACGCTTTCGGGATTTTGCAGCTGTTGAAAAGGAGATCACACTTTTTTCATCTCCTTTCTCTGTGGACCCTGATGATGCTCCAGACCACCTGCAGCTGGAGTTCATTGAGCTGCAGTGTGATGCCGAGTGTCACAGTCAGCAGCAACAGCTCCCTCTTGTCAACTTTTACCACCAGCTGGATAAAGACAGCTTCCAAGAGATTCGAACATTTGCTAAGAAAATGCTGAGCTTGTTTGGTTCGACATACTTGTGCGAGAAGACATTCTCGGTTATGAACATGAACAAGAACCGCATGAGGACGAGACTAAGTGACTTTCACCTGCGTGACATCTTGCGCATCAAAACCACTGTTTTTGAGCCAGACCTGGCCTATATAATGCAGTCGAGATCTCAGTATCACCCTTCACATTCGTGCAGTTAAGTTATTTGTTTAGTCTTTCATAAAATAGTTCATTTGCATTTAATGTTAATGGTTCAAAGAATGTCAGGCTGAATTGTTGGCCTCCACACATTTTCACCTCACCAAATCTGGCCCTCCTTGCAAAAAGTTTGGACACCCCTGGTCTACTGGGAGACTGATTGCAACCTTATCCAGTTAAAAATGTGCATGATGACAATACAGTGACTTGCAGTAAGTCAAATTGAATCTAACATGAGGCACTTTTGAGTATACATGCAAAGGATTGTATATTGAGATTACTTGAAAGATTTTGGAGCTGACACCTAACAGCTATGTCTAATTGCTCTCATTTAAAGCTGCAATATTTAGTTAGCTAGGGTCACAGAAATTAGATTCTTTGTTTCTTCTTCCCTATTAGGTGGGCTTTGCTGTTTAGTTCAGGCTTCAGCAAAATAATGTAGCATTTGGGAGAAAAAATGAAGAGCAATAATCCAGCACTGGATGCTAAGATAGCAAAGATCTCCACAGCCACTGTGTATTTGCCCTTGGTGCTCAGGTAAGAGGGAACAAAGGACACCCAAACACTGCAAAACACCAGCATGCTGAAAGAAATGAACTTGGCTTCATTGAAACTGTCAGGCAATTTCCTGGCTAGGAAAGCTACCATTAAGGCTGCAATGGAGAGGAAACCCAGGAAGCCCAGTACACAGTAAAACATGGCAGATGACCCTTCATTACATTCCAGGACAATTTCTTCAACCATTGCATTCATGTCAGAATGTGGGAATGGAGGAGATGCTGCAAGCCACACAGTACAAATCACCACTTGAGTGAGGCAGCAGGACACAACGATGGTGCTGGCCAGTTGCTTCCCCATCCATTTTCTCATCTTGGATCCTGGCTTGGTGGACAAGAAGGCTAGAACCACAGTGATGGTTTTTGCCAACACAGAGGAGACAGCCACAGAGAAGATGATGCCGAAAGCAGTTTGTCGGAAGAGGCATACCACTTTCTGTGGCTGGCCAATGAACAGCAATGTGCAGAGGAAACAGAGCAGAAGGGAGATGAGGAGAGTGTAGGTGAGTTCTCGATTGTTGGCTTTGACTATGGGGGTGTCTCGGTGCTTAATGAAGGCCCAGAAGACCAAAGCTGTGATGGAAGAAAAGAAAACTGCCACAATGGCCAAACTGATTCCTAGAGGTTCTTTGTAGGACAAGAAGTGTATATTTTTGGGAATGCATGCCTTGTGTTCATCATTAGAAAACTGGTCTTCTGTGCACAGAATACAATCATCCATATCTGGAACAGAAAATGTGAGTTTCTATGCATTGTATCCGTAAGCAAATTCACAGGAAAGTTCAAGAAACTTTTTGAGTTTTCATATTCAAACAAAATATTCTAAGATGTATGGATAAAGTGCCATGCTGTAATAAATTATTCTGTTTCTTCTTATTATTCTACATTATGTTTTTCACACAAATTGATGCATCCCCAATAAATCACATTTCTTAAAAGAATGAAAACTGAAATTAAAAAATGAAACAAAGCAGAAAGGGGAAAATATTAAAAGCAAGGAAGAAACCAGTAAAATCAAATGCTTACTTAAACCGCAATGCCTTCAGCTACTAGGGGAAAATACATAAAGAAAAAGAATAGCTTCAGTCTTTCTGCAGACATATAGACATGTGTGAAACTATCATTTTGAATGCCCTTATCTTTATTGAAAGTGCAGGCAAGATCATGCTGAAGCCATCCTTACACTGCCAAGGGGTTCACTACAGAAAAGACCATCCCTCATCTATCTGGCTCTTCCTGGACATTTAGAAATTAAATGTATTAACCTAACCCCTAAATGGTACTCAGGGTAGAAATGGGCAGCTTGTGCCATTGATATATTAATAAGAGTTATATAATCTCCATTCTTTGCTGAAATCAAAATTGCAACTGCAAATTCTGTACAAGTTGCTATTTCTCAGAGGTGTCAGGAGTCTGTCATGCAGCATGTTATCAAGTCAAGAACTTCCTGCTGCATGTCAGGCCACACTGTCATAGCAGAGTGGAGCCTCTTTATAGTTATCATTGACCACAGTATTGTCTGCAGCAGCATTTTCCCTGATGGGCTATACTCCAGGAAAACGGCATCTATACAAAATGCACAAGTTGGAGCATTATGCACATGTGTGCATTTTAAACACCTTTAAAAACATACCTGTGTGGTTAGAAATTTTCCCCTTTGGACATGGAAGGCAATCATAGCAACAGGAGGGCTTCCCTTCCCTCCTTGACTTTCTAAAACCGGAAGAGCAGTTGTCATTGCACAGAGAAAGTGGGACTGACTGATGGCAAAGGAAAAGGAAGAAAGTTTGAACAGTGAAAAGTGGTGGCTTCTTTGTGGGAGGGAGATCAGTGAATCAGTTCATTTTTTTTTTTGTGTGGGTAAAGAAAGTGTCTTTCATTAGCAGATGCTAAGACTTTTGTGTACATTCAGTGTGATAGTCACACTGTCAAGTAATTACCTTCTAATTTTACTGAGTGAAAATGGAGCTGGGAAACAAGATACGATTTTAGCTATCTGCACCTACTGACAGAATACAACTTGAGAAAATTGATTGTGATCCCAGTTTAATAGTGTCTTTAAACGTCATCATAATCCTAACACTGTTAGGAAACTTAGGGTTGATCAAATGCAATAATTAACACTGTACCAGACAAATCTCAGTGTTCTTTGATTGACACATAGGTGGGAATACTCAGAAATATCTTCATATAGCATGCCATTTCTTTAGAACCTACCTGATTAAATACGCTGGGCCATACAAGGGTATCTTCAAATGTAGTGAATATTTTGTCTTTGTGAAACCCTGGGTCTATCCTTCCAACTTTCACTCTATGAAAGGATTGGTTTGAATAGGTGACGAAGTTTACAATGTCAAATCCAGCATGTACTACACCATTTTCATCAAGTGAAACTTTGTCCCCAGCACTGTTGTTAAATGAGATGTGTCCCAGAAAGTGATGGAGCTGGGAGAAAAAGAAAATAGGTTGTACCATACAAAAAGGGAACTTGATGGTTGATGGTTACTAATCCCTTTGACATATTACCTTTCTATCTCTCGCTCCTACCCGTCAGGAGCCTGGGTCCAGAGTCTTGACAATGTCAACGTTGACCTGAGTCCAAAGAATCCAACTCTAATCCCAGTCCAAGCACAGAGTCTTCCACATCCTTAGTCTTAATATCATTTGTCCCCATAAATTAAATCTTAAAATATCATTGCTATTACACTTTAAGTTGCTCCCTGGTAATCACAGTTGCAATGGAGGATTTCAGTTCTTCCAGGTATGTATCATTTCCTTCCTTCTCTTCATTTCAATTATATTTTTACTATTTTTGTTTCTTGCACTTGGCTTCATCATTTATAGATACAATTATCAGGCATCTAAATCCTTGCTGCATCAAGCTGCCTCCTCCTCCTCCTCCATCATCATCATCATCATCATCTGACTATCTTCAGTGCTCTGCACCACCCATTGGACATATCTTCTTTCTTGTGTGCATTAGTTGGACTGCTTTAGTTTACTGCTTCACTCAATTCACTACCCACTACTACGCACTTAGATATGGGAACCCCAAATATCCTGCATCTAATTTTCTGTCAATTACAGGTGCAATTTCATACTTGGCCTGAAAAGAGCTATCGCTAACCTGAACTGTGGAATTTGCTATTATTTGGGTAAAGCGGATGTAATTTATATGGCAGTTGCTGTTTTCTGCATGTTCTCTTCCATCCACTCTGGTCCCATACACCTTGTTTCAATATTTCCTCTCCTGCTTCAATTTGGCATACCTATTTCTATGTTCTCTCCTTCATGGATCACTGCCTTGTCATGGCAAAGGGGCTTGCATTGCTCAATGAAGCTGTGAGCTATGCAGTGCAGGGCCACCAGAGACAGACAGGTCATAGCAGAGAGCTCTGACAAAACGTGATCCACAGGAGAAGGAAATGGCAACCCACTCCAGTATCTTTGCCATGAAAAGCCCCATGGACCGTACCAAAAGGCAAAAAGATATGATGCTGGAAGATGAGCTCCTCAGGTTGGAAGGCATGCAATATGCTACTGGGGAAGAGCAGAGGGCTAGTACTAGTAGTGCCAGAAAGAATGAAGTGACTGGGTCAAAGCCAAAAGGACACTCAGCTGCAGATGTATCTGGAGGTGAAAGAAAAGTCTGATGCTGCAAAGATCTATACTCCATAGGAACCTGGAATGTAAGATCCATGAATCAAGGCAAGCTGGACGTGGTCAAACAAGAGATGACAAGAATGAACATTGACATTTTTGGAATCAGTGAACTAAAATGGAAAGGAATGGGTGAATTTAATTCAGATGACCATCAGGTATACCACTGCGAGCAAGAATCCCTCAGAAGAAATGGAGTAGCCTTCATAGTCAATAAAAGAGTAGGAAAAGCAGTACTGGGATGCAATCTCCAAAAGGACAGAATGATCTCTGTTCGAATCCAAGGCAAACCATTCAACATCACAATAGTCCAAGTCTATGCCCCAATCACTGGTGCTGAAGAGGCTGAAGTTGACCGGTTCTATGAAGGTCTACAACACCTTCTAGAATTAACACCCAAAAATGATGTCTTTATCAACATGGGGGATTGGAATGCTAAAGTAGGAAGCCAAAAGATAACTGGAATAATAGGCAAGTTTGGCCTTGGAGTACAAAATGAGGCAGGGCACAGGCTGGTAAAATTTTGTCAAGAGAATATGATGGTCATAGCAAACACTCTTTTCCAACAACCCAAGAGACGACTCTACACATCGACATCACCAGAGGGTCAACACAGAAATCAGATTGACTATGTGCTCTGCAGCCAAAGATGAAGAAGCTCTATTCAGTCAGTAAAAACTAGACCAAAAGCTGACTGTGGCTCAGATCATGAGCTTCTCATTGCAAAATTTAGGCTTAAATTGAAGAAAGCGCTAGGCCACTCAGGTATGACCTAAATCATATCCCTGATGAATATACAGTAGAGGTGACAAATAGAATTAAGGAATTAGATCACATGAACATAGTGCCAGAAGAACTATGGACGGCAGTTCACAACATTGTAGAAGAGGAAGCAACTAAAGCCATGCCAAAGAAAAAGAAATGCAAGAAAGCAAAATGGCTGTCTGAGGAAGCTTTACAAATAGCTGAGGAAAGAAGGGAAGTGAAAGGTGAGAGAGAAACAGAAAGATACACCCAATTGAATGCAGAATTCCAGAGAAGAGCTAGAAGAGATAAGAATGCCTTCTTAAATGAACAGTGCAAAGAAATAGAAGAAAACAATAGAATAGGCAGGACCAGAGAGCTCTTCAAGAAAATTGGAGATATGAAGGAACATTTCATGCATAGATGGGCATGATGAAGGACCAAAATGGCAGGGACCTAAAGAGGCAGAAGAGATTGAGAAGAGGTGGCAAGATTACACAGAGGAACTATAAAAGAAAGAGCTTAACCTCCCTGATAACCATGATGGGGTGGTCACTGACCTTGAGCCAGACATCCTGGAATGTGAAGTCAAATGGGCCTTAGGAAGTCTGAGCAACAACAAAGCTAGTGGAGGCAACAGTATTCCAGCTGAGCTCTTCAAAATCTTTAAAGACGATGCAGAAAAAGTGCTACATTCAATATGCCAGCAAATTTGGAAAACTCAACAGTGACCACAGAATTGGAAAAGCTCAGTTTACATTCCCATCCCAAAGAAGGGCAATGCCAAGGAATGTTCAAACTACCGCACCATTGTACTCATTTCACATGCAAGCAAAGTGATGCTCAAAATCCTACAAGCTAGGCTCTAGCTGTATGTGGACCGAGAACTACCAGAAGTACAGGCAGGATTTCGAAGAGGGAGAGGAACTAGAGATCAAATTGCAACATACGTTGGATCAGGGAGAAAGCTAGGGAGTTGCAGAAAAACATCTACTTCTGCTTCATTGACTATGCTAAAGCCTTTGATTGTGTGGATCACAACCAATTGTGGCAAGTTCGTAAAGAGATGGGAGTCCCAGACCATCTTATTTGTCTCTTGAGAAACCTATATGCAGGTCAAGAAGCAACAGTGAGAACGGGGCACAGAAGCACTGATTGGTTCAAAATTGAGAAAGGAGTTTGGCAAGGCTGTATACTGTCTCCCTGCCTATTTAACTTATATGCAGAGCACATAATGAGAAAGGCAGGGCTAGATGAATCACCAGTTGGAATTAAGATTGCCAGGAGAAATATCAACAACCTCAGATATGCAGATGATACCACTCTAATGGCAGATAGTGAAGAGCAACTAAAGAGCTTTTTGATGCGGGTGAAGGAGGAAAGTGCAAAGGCTGGCTTGGAACTCAACATTAAGAAAACTAAGATCATGGCATCCAGTCCTCTCACTTCCTGCCAAATAGATGGGGAAGAAATAGAGGCAGTGACAGGTTTATTTTGTTTATTTTATTTTAGTTTGCTCCAAGATCATTGCAGACAGGGACTGCAGTCAAGAAATTAAAAGATGCTTGCTCCTTGGGAGGAAAGCTATGGCAAATCTAGACAGCATACTAAAAAGCAGAGACATCACCCAGCCAACAAAAGTGCATATAGTCAAGGCTATGGTTTTCCCAGTTGCAATGTATGACTGAAAACTGGACCATAATGCAGGCTGAGCGCCAAAGGAGTGTGGCCTTTGAATTGTGGTGCTGGAGGAGGCTCCTGTGAGTCCCTTGGACCACAAGGATATCAAACCAGTCAGTCCTAGAGGAGATCAACCCTGACTGCTCTTTAGAAGGCCAGACCCTGAAGATGAAACTCAAATACTTTGGCCACCTAATGAAAAGGAAGGACTCCCTGGAGAAGAGTCTAATGCTGGGAAAAATAGATGGCAAAAGAAGAAGGGGAAGGCAGAGCATGAGGTGGATAGATGGAGTCACTGAAGCAGTTGGTGTGAGCTTATGTGGACTCCGGGGGATGGGTGGAGGACAGGAAGTCCTGGAGGAATGTTGTCTATGGGGTCGTGATGGGTTGGATACAACTTCGTGAGTAACAACAATTTCTACGTTCTAAGCTTTTTCAATGGGACTTCATCCTTTATCTTCTCCCAATCTTACAGTATTCCCCTTGTGATACTTGTGAGTGAGGGACAAAGCATGTACTCAGACACGACAGGTGCATTTTGCTTCACAGTGAGAATAATGACAGGAATCCACCTTAGCATATCAACTCACCTAATGGCACCAATACCCCTCCCCCCCCACACAGACACACCATGCATGTGCACATCAGTGAATGGATTAAAAGTATTCCCAATTGCTGAGGTCCTGATCCAAAAAGAAAAAAAAATATGGTCCTGAATTTACTTTGCCCCTAACTGATTTAGTGCCTATTTACTCTGTAGGACTTACAATGGAGCAATTTGGACTGACTAGAACCAAAGAATTGGGAAAAATTTATTTGGCATTAAGTCTACCATAAAAATGTGTGTGTTTGTGTGTGTGTGTTTTGAGAGAGAGAGAGAGAGAAAGTAGTTGTTTGATAAGTCTCTGAAGTAATACATGGTTTTTTCCCCTATGGTCCATTTTATCTCATTTCTCTTCTTTCCCACCCTGCCCCACTTGAGCTTTATAGAAACCCTGATGTTAAAACAAACAAACAAACAAAAACAAAGACAAAAGCACATGGATAAAGTGGTCACTAACAGAGATGGGGTCCTCCCTATCAGTCAGCTCCAAACTTTGTAAAGACATTTAACTAACAGTACCAGAGATGTGTGAACATGTGGCAATAAAGGAAATGCTGAAAACCTCCCAGACATGCCTCTGCTCATCATGAAATGCAAGTTAGAGCACACTGCCTCTTAGTGGCCTGCATTTCTACTCATGCTGCAAGCGTACCCAGCCCCCTGCATTTGCTTGAGCTCAGAATGTCACCTGCCATGGGTGGTGACTCCAAAGCTTCTGCCTGTCTCCATCCACCATGGCTCTGTGTCTCCGCTTGGATGACTGCATGGCTTGCAGGGCATGAGCCACCACATAGACTGCATTGTAGATGCTGTAGCTGTGGGATGTGATGTCTGTCTCAAAGGTAGATGCCGGGAGAGAATCCAGCTTCTCCTCCCCACTGCAGGCATCTTCAGCCTCACTGTTTGCTACAAGGTTAAAGCATGAACACCCAAAGGCTTGTTCCCAAAAGTCCCTGATGAAGCCATCTTCTGTTGTTGCAGAACACTTTTTCATCTGCAGAAACTTCTGGAATCCCAACATCTGCTTTGAGTGACTTGCCACAGATATAGCACCATGGATGGAGTGCACTTCCCAACTGGTTTGGAAGGCAAAAGATGTGAATTCCATCTGGGCATCCATTATCCAAACTTTGCCTATGGTCTTTGATGGTATATTTTGCAATTCTGAAATCATCATCAGTATTCTTAACCTAATCATAGTCTCAGATGCACCATATAGAAGCACTGCCGTGGCCGTGCTCTTCATGACAATTCTGCATAGCTTAATCTCCTCAGCCAACATATTGTCTACAAAATTGGCAAATGATTGTTCTGGAAATCCTTCTATGAAATCAAAGCAGATGCCACTCTGGGTAAACATGGGAAGCACATTCTGCATAAGCCATTGTGCACCATCACTATTTACAAACAGTGCTCCAATCCAGGTCCACCTGAAATGTAGCAACAACTGGAGAATCCCCTTATCTTGAAGTGAGGTACTTGGGAACATGCGGTAGAAGAAAAGGCCTTGAATTTTATCATTCACTGTTGGAGCAGAGCCATAGAAGACCTTAGGGAAAAGAGGAAGAGAAAGAGAGGTACTTTTCAAAATTGTTATGAAAGCGTTACCATTTAAAAAATATGAATATTTGGCCATCACAATCAAACTTTCAGTTTGTTCGTTTGACATAGAAATGTAACACAGTTTTGTGATGTCTATATTGGAATTCTAAGTTCACTATGATGCAACATCCATTAAATAGTAGAATTGCCCACTTGGATCACACATCTGCAGCTCAGCTGCCACTGTTGACACAGGCAACCAAAGTTTTTGACCAAACTAAGCAGGATATGAAAGCCATTGTATCCCTGCGTTGCACTGGTTTCTCCTTGACTTTGCAGTATTATTTTGTCTCCTTCCCCTCCATAAATTAGATGCAAAAGACATTTTTGATATGTTTGCTATTATTAATGTAAAATTGATATGTTTTCTACTATCAATATAAAAATAATTTAATAACTTTGTTCTCTAAACAAATATTTGGTTATCACCCTTTGAATCTTAGTTATGGTATAGTCACTCTCAATGACATCTAATGACATTGCTATTTTTTGGTTACCTATCAGTCTGTAAATACCAGTGTTTCAGTTTTAAATAAATACATGAGACTAATGCATGGTAAGAGCTCTTTCTTCAAATGATCATGTGAAGTTTGAAAGAACCTTACTTCACTTTTTCACAGCCTTATGAGGGAGTGAGGACTTTAAGTCCTTGCTTTTAGTTTAAGCTTTATATTATTCAGTTGCCCTTGTATGAATAATAGAGTTATACAAATGATTATATCAATTGCAATTAATCATCCCCACCACGTTTCATACAGAAAGTCTATGCCGTCTAATCAGATGTAAGGTCTAATGACTTCCAGAAGTGTGAATACAGGATTGCACTAAGAACAAAGTTATCATGTTCCCTCTCTAGGATTTGACTTTGAAGCATCATTCAAGATTTGTCTGCATGCTTCGGCTAGACCTACAGATTATGAACATAACAGAATGCAAACCAAAAAAGGAAAAGAGCAAACAGAGACAGCAACACAAAAGCATCTGGAGGAGGAGAAGTTTGGATGACTATTCTGCCCACACAACAGATGCAGTTCCATACCTGAGGAAGTTTGTAAAAGCGCAGAATGTCTGCCATTTGTTTGCCAGTATCAGAGTTAGGTCCTGCAATAACAGCTACCAGGTCAGTTTGGGCATCACACTTGTAGTTAGGGATGAACCTGCCAGGTGTAGAAAGAAGATCCATGGAGGCATGCAAAGTCCAGAATGCACTGAAATAATTATTATAGATTTGGAATCCCAGGGTGACATTGGTCAGCATGTCAGAGTTGTCATTGATCTCTTTCACAGCAAACTCCAAGAGCATAATGTGCTGGTAGTTGTGAAGCAACACCCTGCAGGGAGATTGGCATGCAAGATCATTCAGCAATTCATTAAGTGGCATTTCCCATACAATAAATACATATTTGATTGCATATATTTGACTGCTTGTCTCTCCTTTCTTGCCAAATTATTCTCCAGCTACTAAGGTGGCTACCCATAATCAGTTAGCTATCAAATGACCACATCTCCTAACTATGAAATGGCCAGTAACAATTAACTAGTTATGAAAGGAGAAAAGATCTGGGGGAAGTATTTTCCCCCTACTTCCACATGGCAGACATTCTTCCCAAGAAAACAAAGCAAATTCAAAGCCAAGTTGCCCTCACGTTTATTATTTGTGCAGGTTTTGCTGGAAAACATCCTACATAATATTCTTACATAGGGTTATCCATCTTGGCATGGGAAGGATGGTTTGTAAAACTAATAGGACTGAAGAAGACATAGATCTGTGAGGTAATGCCAGCAATGATGATGTCTCCTGACCGATAAAATTTGTGAAGAATAGGAAGAGGTTTACTGACTGTACAGCCATGAGAAGGAACCTTGCACACCACTTGGGAAAGCAGTGTGGATAGCAGGACTACCAAAACTACCATCATGCATAAAGTATTTCCTTCTAGATGCCAGTTCATCTGTAGAAGGTCCTTTCGGACTTCAGCCTGAGCCGAATGGCCATGTTGTATAGCTTGACGCATGTAGATCTGTCCACAGGAAGCCGGGTGGAGCCTGTTTGTCTTTATATCTATCTCATAAGGATCCCACGACTATGAATGGACTATGGAACTCCGTAGGGACTTGGAAAATAAATTATTGTTGATTTCAAAATTACAGGGGAGATAATCATCTGCTGAGTGTGACAGCCTCTCTCTCTGTCACTGAAGAGATTTTTTTCTTAATTCTTCTCTGTTAATCAGTAGGGCAGCAAGTGCTTTAAATTGTCCATGACCATTAAATTTCTCAGCAGGATGAGGGATGTTATGCCAACACCAATCCTAAAAGCACTGGCCACTTGTGAATGGCTAGTTTCAAGACTCAGTTTTAGAAGTTTTTGTCTGACCTTTTAAGGTGAATTATATGGATTTACACCTTTCAAAGCTCTCCATGTATAGTACTGAAAACTCACTTTCTCACCTTCTGTCACCTCATATGATACTTCTCCTGTCCTTAAATAGAGCTGGGCACACTTAGGAAAGCTGATGTTAAAAACAAATTAGTTTTGCTTCCATTTTCATGTATTCCTTTTTCTCTCAGGTTTTCACCTTCAGGTTTTACCTTTTGCACCCTTCCCTCAACAGAAGCCAACACTTTCTGACCAGAGACTGGATTATTTTAATCCCCCTCCTCCAAGGGGGTAGATTTAAAATACTTCTGAAAACTTTAGGTTCCAGTGTAGCTTTTCAGTTATATCTCTGCCTGTCTGCCTGCCTGACAGCCTATCTATATTTCACACTTGATAGGAAAACAGAAATCCATCTAGTTATAGGCAGCCTGTGTTTGTGCATCCATGTGTGATTCTTTCATACATGTGTTTACAGTTAGATGCAATACAATTTACAATAAAGTGAAACCAACATTCCTTTCAGAGGATTCACTTACACAGTCAAACCTGAAATAAGAAATAGATGAAGTACTGAATGGCACTGGGTCCACAGAAGCATATCTGGGAGATCCCCACACTGTGCAACCAGGGGTGAAGAAATGGGGGGGGGGGAGCATACCCAAGTAGCATGAGGCAAGCCATGAAGCCAAGGTCATCCAGAGAGCTACATGGCTGTCAGCTGCAGCATTCAGAAACCAAGCTTCTGTCTCGTCCAAAAATTGGGAGAAATTGAGTAGTTTATGTCCAGGCAAAAGGCATTTCCTTGAACATTCTCTTGTAATTAAAACAACCAAAATAGAAAACTAAAACTTGGGATATGGAATGTTGGTACATCCAAGTTTACTGCCAAAATTGTCTTGAAATTAATCATGTACCAAATCAGAAAACATCTGAAGGAAATAGAGTGTTCTCATGGTCACCATAGTTCACTCTGGATTATTTGACCTATGGCAGTGGTTGTGGAAATCCCAGTATATTCCTTCTCCTCCTTCCCTTCCTCCTAATTTCTCTATCACTCAACAACTATGGTAAGTGTACACAAGCCCCTACAATACAGTAAAGGAATATTCAAGCAGTAGCAGGCACTTGCCAGACTTTTGTGTTATATGCATGCCCTGTGCAGAATTTGCAGTGGAGATGCGTGAGGAGTTCAGTTTGGGAGTGGGAACCTGTTAGGTTGCTCAGCTTCACTCCCCAGCCTCCTGCTCATTTTCCTCTGGCCTAAGCTGGCCTCACAAGTTGCCTTCATGCAGGTGTCTGTCAAGAAGGGAGTGCAAGCAAGCCCACAAGTCTGGCTTGCCAGACAATGCCCACATGCCCATTCTGTAAGCAGAGTTCTGCTCCCACACTTCTGAGCATGCATGGACCTGATCTCAGCTCTGCATGCTTCCCAGCCAGGAACAAGTCTGGAGAAGTCCAGCAAGTGTAAGAGAGCCAATTTCTAGCCTAATTTTGTACCCAAGAAGGGTAGCTGCTGTGGTTCACAAACTGCCCACGAGCTCCCATGATCAGTGGTTGTGCAACACAGGCCAACATGCAGTATCATTGCTCAGAAAAAGGGAAAGAGCACCTGCATTTGTGTCTGCTCAGTCATTCCATAATGGAATCGAAACCTTTGCAAACTAGCATGGCAGGCCAACCAATCTGAACCCTTGATGCCAGTCAGGATGAGAATCAATATGAAAGGAAATCTGCAACAGCAACAATACTGATATCACAAATTTGCACAGTACAGACAAAGCATGATGGCTGTATTTGTTCATGAATTTGTTTAATTCATTATTTGTTTATTGCCAAAATTATATCACGCTCAATTGACTGACAGGACCTTCTAATTGGAATTTAAATCTGTCCAATAGCTCATATTCTCTGGACAAATTATGGTCAATTAAAATTAAATGCTGTTTATTATGCAAGTGAAAAATGCTGTATGTGAAACAGACATTTCTATTCAGACACAATGCATTTAGTATAGAATCTTATAGTTAATAGTATAGAATGTAGGCGTTTACTTGATGTGCCTGAATGAAGGAGAAAGTGGTAGAATTTGGAGCCAGAAATCAGTATATCTCTGGCTGCAGATGTAAAAAAACCTGTTGTTGAGATGAACAATTCAATCAGAATTTAATCAGAATGTTCAATGCTGAATGCACATGCTAACGTACATTCCAGGCATTACCACATGCTACATCTGCCTTGTAGAGCTTGCCTATATCATGGAAGACACTTGGGGTGCAGCTGGAAAATATAGAAGCATCAAGAATTGCAGGTGTAAGATACAAGATGGTGTCCATCTTGACCACGCATAATGGTGTCCAAGAACTGATTCTTTGATAATATATAACAGTTGGGAAATCTGCTTCATACATCCTGTGTAGCCATGGCTCCTATAATGATATTCTCCAGTACAGTATGAATATTTTAATGTAGGGCCACCCTGAATTAGTTTCTGCTTCATGTACTGCCTAATAAGGAAATAACAGCTACAGCAAAAAGACATCTCCCTCCCTGGATAAACATATATGTAGTTAAGACTGCATGCAGCTTACAGACCCTGCATGGGATTTCCTGGGAGTTATCAGCATTTCCTTCCTTCCTTCTAAACTTGCAAAGCCTGGCACCTGGGATCACTGCAAAATGATTAGTTATTAACTGATTTTATCTGGCCAGGGCGGCTTATTTTATATTGTATTTTTTGGATTTTTAATGTTTATATTAATTTATTGTTGTAAGCCGCCCCGAGGCTTCGGCGAATGGGGCGGCATAAAAATGTTTTAATAAATAAATAAATAAATAAATAAATAAAAATTAAGACATCTCATATTGATGACTAATTACTCTCATTTAAAGCTGCAATATTTAGTTAGCTAGGGTCACAGAAATTAGATTCTTTGTTTCTTCTTCCCTATTAGGTGGGCCTTGATGTTTAGTTCAGGCTTCAGTAAAATAATGTAGCATTTGGGAGAAAAAATGAAGAGCAATAATCCAGC